CCAAAGAAAGTAAAATCCTTACTTGAATAACCAACTTTTTTCATTCTTTAAAATTTCTATAATACCTACAAAGTCAATTAAATAAAAGCTATGAGAGCCTAAATTTTTTTAAGAGCTATTACTAAAAATCTCTTTCAACATTAGACAGTAATCGCCAGTAGGTGAAACCAATGAGTTCATTAGCCCAAGGGCAAAGCAAGGATATCTGGATACTTGTTAAGACACTTATCAGTCAAAAAGGGTTGTGTAGAAAATGGTGATTCTAATATTTATCTTATCTACCTCAAAGGTCTGTAAGATTCACTCTCTGAAACAAGTGCAAAACCGTGCAAGTCTGCTACAGTGTGCTTCTGATTTATCGTTCTTCCATCTTTCCACCCCCTAATTTCTAATTCTTAGTAAGGGCCTTAGACATGTATGTATTAGAAAATAAGCAACTGTTAACAAAATATCCAAATGATATAAGATATACTTAAATTTGGTTTCAAGCTACCAGATCATTCAATCAATCTGTTAACAACAGGTCATCCTTAGAATTAACTAGGGAGATTATAGTTCTAACCATATCACTCACCTTTAGAACAGAGGCCAAGCTAGTCATGTGTTCATTGAGGGCACCCTCAGACTCCTTATAGGTCAAGCAAGTGAACTGGTACTCCTCCGGATCAAAGGCATCAGCCCCTTGCTGCTCCACATCACTAGCTACTCCCACATAATAGTCCTCTATGTCCCCAGGGTCCTCATCCTCTTCCTCTTCCTCCTCACAATTTGGGTCATAGTCCTCTTCATTGCTGTCAGACCCCTGGCTATTCATGTCCACTGACATCTTTGCATCCAGTTAAGTTGCAAATCACGAAAGCAGTTGCTTTTTCTCCCCTCAAACTTCACCGCTTTCTCAAATGCATTAGTGTTTTTGTATTCTAGAAAGAAAAAAAAAGTGTTACTTTTTTACCATGACAGAAACCATTCAAGAATCGAAATGGCACAGACCTGGCCTTACATACACTATGGCCTAATCCCACTTTGGTCTCATATAGGAAATCTCACCAACATGCCCCTGGCCCAGGCTTATCAAAAGGAAATCCTTCCCTGAAGAAGCAGCAGCTGATAATGGTGACTTCACATAAAGGGTCTGACATGAAAGAGCAAGGATATCTACCCCATGTCAGGGGGCCAAATTCCAGTGGGCTTGTCTTCTTGCCAGAATCCTTAAGGGAGAGGTACATCCTCACAGTTTGCTACACACAGGGTAGATAATGTAAAGGTTTAGCTACCAAAATTTAGAAATTTTGCTAGCTGGGCATGGTGACACATACCTGTAATACCAGCACTCAGGAGGCTAAGGCAGAAGAGTCGTCATGAGTTTGAGGCCAGCATGGATTACATAGTGAGTTCAAGGCCAGCCTGGACTACAAACAAGACTTTGTCTCAAAAACAAAACTGCCCCAACCAAGGGGTGACAGAGACAGTAAAATGATTGAGGGACATAGTTCCTTCCCACTGTAATATATAGGGAAAGAAAACATCCTTCTGAGATGTCTGGAAAATACGTGCACATTTACAAAAGAAAACTGAAATCACGTAACTCTTTCACATCTTTCTCCTACTCCACAAAATAAACTAATTTTTCAGTTTTTGTTAAAAGACATATACTGAAGCTGTATATGATGGTACAAGCCTGCAATTCCAGCTACTTGGAAGGCTGAAACTGGAGCATGGTTAGTTTGAAGCCAGCTAGGGCAATTTAACAAGACTCTCATCTCAAAATAAGGGGGAGGGGGATTGTCTGGGAATGTAGGTTCAACTTCTATTAACCCCCTTCCCTACCAAAAAAGAGTTCTGCTAAATCATTAAAAAGGGTACTTAGAGGCAAAGAAAATGATCCTATGGTGAAGAAAAACAAGACATTTTAACAGGATCAAGGTTAGATAAAAACTATAATCTATTCTGCATTAAGAAACAAGGGCCCAAATCCAACCAGCCATTAAAAAATCTTTTTTTGTTGTTTTTATAGACAAGGTCTTAATATGTAGTCCAGGCTGGCCTTGAGGTCATGATGTAGCCCAGGCTAGCCTCAAACTCCCAGCAATCCTCCTGCCTGTCTCCCAAGCACTGGGATTACAAGTGTGCACCAACTGTAAAAAATCAGTTTTGAAAATCTTTATAGCATACAATGTTTCTTTCTTTTGATGGTGGTACCGAGGATTAAACCCAGGACCTTCACACTAAGCTACATCCCCAGCCCTATTTTGTTAATTTTTAGACAGAATCTCACTAAATTGCTAATTTTCCCAGGCTGGGCTTGAACTTGTGATCCTCTTGCCTCAGGCTGCCAGACTGCTGGAATTACAGGCTTGCCACCATACTGGCCAAAATGTTGATTACACGTAAATGAAATAAAAACAGTAGTTAAAGTCAGTTTGGTGGCAGGATGGCAGAAAGATACATAAGAAGATGGCAGAACTACATAAGAAGTTCAAGCCAACCAAGATGCGTTATGTAAAGGTACAATTCCCAATGAGAAATGTAATTGTGTTATATACCTAAAATGCACCAAAAGAAAAGTTCAAGCCAGCGTGGACTACACGGTAAACCTTGTCTAAAAAAAGAAGAAAGAGAACAACACTTAAGAAAACATATAGCTGTGAATGTTGACGCACACCTGTAACTCCAACATTCTGAAGGCTGAGGCAGAATTGCCACAAGTTTGTGGCCAGCCTGGTCTACAAAGTGAGTTCAAGGCCAGTTTGAATTACAGTACACAGCAAGAGCCTTTCTCAAAAAACAAACAACAACAACAAAAAGCAAGTATGCAATCACAAATCTTAACCTCATCCCAAGGAAGATTTGACAAATACTCGTTAACTTATTTCCATAAGCACTATTTCTTTTTCTTTTTTTTGGACGCAGGGTCTCCCTTTGTAGTTCAGGCTGACCCTGAACTCACTATGTAGCCCTGGCTGGCCTCAAACTCCAGCTCCCACAAGCACTATTTCAAGTGATGCTTTAATGGAAATATCAAATAGGATTTAAATCTACAAGGAAAGAGAAGGGAAAATGATAGAACAAAAACTAAAAATACGCCAGGCGTGGTGGCACACACCTGTGATCCCAGCACTCAGGAGGCTAAGGGAGAAGGATTGCCACGAGTTGAGGCCAGCATGGGCTACACAGTGAGTTTAAGGCCAGCCTGAACAACAGATCGAGATCCTGTCTTAAGAAAAAAAAAATCTAAAATATAGTAAGACTTTAAACTCTATTTGGATTTAATAGTATGTAAACAATTTACATACACAAATATAGATTAAATATACAAGTAGATGTAAAGTCTGTTATACATTTCTCTCTCTCACTTTTTTTTCCTCACTGTCTCAAATGTAGTCCAAACTGACCTTAAATTCACCATGAAGGCTGGGCTTGCTGGAGCATGCTTTTAATCCCACCACTTGGGAGGCTGAGGCAGGAGGATCATCGAGAGTTCAAGACCAGCCTGGATTGTATAGTGAGACTCAGTCTCAAAAAAACAAAAGTTTTGTAAGTAAGGAGAGGAAGAGGGGTTGAAGGGAGGGGAGGGGAATGGAAAAAAACCAAAAAAACCCCAAGGTATATCATGTATACATTCTCTGATAGCTGGGGATATAGCTCAGTGACACCATGCCTGCCTGGCAAGCACAAGGTCCTGAGTTCAATCGTCCATACCAAGGGAAAAAAAAAAGTCTCTATGATGAATGTTATCATTATGTATATGTAAAATGTACCAATAAAAAATAAAAAACAAACCCAACCCAACCAAAACAAAACAAAAAACCACCATGAAGCTGGCTGCAAACTCATTATCTTCCTGCCTCACATTCCTAAGTGCTGGGATTAGAGGCATTATAGGCCTGTGCCACTACATCCAACTCATAACCTGTTATAAAATAAACAAAATCAACCATGCTGTGCTTGATGGCATACACCTATAATCCCAGGTACTCAGGAGGCTGAACCTGTCTCAAAATAATAAAGGGCTAGGAAGCCAACTCCGTGAAAGGCCCTGGGTATAATCCTCAACAATAAGTGAAAATCACAATCATAATCCTGATCATCATGGAAAACAAAGATTAAGAATGAATGTCGGTGGGCTGGGGATTTAGCTCAGTGGTGCCACCATCTGCCTTGCTACCACAAGGTCCCGACGGATACCAAAAAAAAAAGAATGAATGTGAAAACTGCATAATGATGCTATAACCACTCTAAGGGACTGCAGAATCTTTTTTTATATATTATAAAATACTAGTGAAGTGCGCTAGGGATGCAGTTCAGGGATAGGGACTAGCCTCATGTGTGAGGCCCTGGTTTTGATTTCCAGCAGTGTGAAGAAATAAAGACAGAAAAAGAAAGGAGGGGGGTAGATATTAGTGGATGCAAGTTTATATGTTAACTATAAAGGTTTAAATATTTTTTTAAAAAATCATATTAAGTATAGAACAGCAAAATGAAGTTTGCAATTTAACTTTTTTTGCTTTTCTTTCCCCCACATACTGGACACTGAACCCAGGGCCTCTGCACTTAGCCATATTCTCAGCACCCCCATTTAAATTTCCTATTTTGAGACAGGATCTCACTGAATCACTAAACTGCCCCAGTTGGATTCAAACTTGTAATTCTCCTCCCTCAGTCTCCCACAGTGCTGGGATTACAGATGTGTATTACCAGGTCTGACTGTTTTTTGTTTTTGAGACAGAGTCCCCTTCAAACTGGCCTTGAACTCACTAGTATCCTAGTTTGGCCTCGAACTCTTAACCTGCCTGCCTCACCCAGGTTCCAAGTGCTGGCTTAACTTAACTTTTAACATATTTTCTATGGTGGAAACACCTAACTTTGAGTGAACTTAACAATGGAATCTTTTTCTTTAGAGAAAAAGTCAATCGTTAAATTAAAAATACCAGTAATTTTTGAAGATCTTTCAGGTAGACATCACCCAAATATTCTGTCGTATGATTTCCACCTAAAATAAAGAACAGAATAATTACATTTTCAAAACTGGTAACTTTTTTTTTTTTGGCAGTACTAAAGATTGAACCCAGGGCCTTCACCTGAGGCTAGAGTTACATCCTCCTGCCTCTGCCTCAGTGCTGGGATTACAGGAGTGCACTACCACGCCCGGCCTGAAGCACTTTTGAGACTTGTCAGTCTCAACATTGTCTAGGCTCAAATTTATAATCATTCTGCCTCAGAATCCCAAGTAACTGGGATTGTAGGCGTGAACCACCATGCCTGGTCACACATTTTTGTTTATTTTTCTGTTTTTTGATACAGGGTCTCACTATGTAGTTCAGGCTGGCCTTGAACTCACTATGTACTCCAGGCTGCAGGCCATCCTCCTGTTGCAGGCTCGAATGTGCTGAGATTACAGATGTGTGCCACCATACCTGGCTACAAATTTGTTTTTGTTTTTTTACAAATTGGTTTTTTAAAAAGTGAAGATTTAGCCTGATGTGGTGGTGCATGCTCATCATACCAGCACCATGGAGGCTGAGGCAGGAGAATCACTGTGAGTTTGAGGCCAGCCTGGGCTACATAGTGAGATCTTGTCTCAAAAAAAAAAAAAAACAAGTAATGGAATAGGTATGTAGCTCAATGGTAGAGCACAAGAATACATACCTAGCATGCACAAGGCCCTGGCTCCAGTATCATAAATACATACATAAAAGGATAAGTGACAAGGAGTCAGAAGTTGTCTCAACTTCTCCATGTGCTGGGCTTACAACTTCAATTCTTCTTTTTTTTTTTTTTTTT